GGGCCTAGTTAAAGTATATATATATATATATATATGTATATATGTATATGTCAAAAACAAATTAATGCATTATTTTTCGCTTAAATCCTACATATTTGTAGTAAACAATCGTTGTTTAATAACTACAGTAAAATTACCCTTTATAAATACATCTACGTATAAGAATGAGATCTGCTCAAATCCTCCTTGAGGATTAAAAAATCAAATCAAAAATCTAAATGTAGATTATAATTTTCAAAAATTATTCACCTCTCCATACCAATGACATCGATTGTTGATAGTTCCTCTAACTCTTTTGATCTTTATATGGGGGGGGGGGTACTATTGGAAAAATGTCCGAACTCGAAAATATCTGTTTAAAGTAAGTCGGTTTAATCACATCCGACAGTCTCGACCCGGCATGGCCAGGTGGTTAGGACGCTCGCCTCGCAATTTGCGGGTGTCGCGGGTTCGAATCCCCGTCCCACTAAATATGCTCGCCCTTTCAGCCGTAGGGGCGTTATAATGTGACGGTCAATCCCACTATTCGTTGGTAAAAGTGTAGCCCAAGAGTTGGCGGTGGGCGGTGTTCACTTGCTGCTCTCCCTCTAGTTTATCAGTTCAAAGTTATGGACGGCTAGCGCGAAATTCAACAAACTATATCCAAACTGACTAGAAGTACACCATAAAACTAAAATTAGAATCCTTTGACTCACCAGTTGGATATATTCCTTATGAACGATGGTTTCAACGAAGCAAAACATTGTTCCGAGGGTAAAAATGCAGTTTGGAAGAATAAGAATGTCCCGAACATAGAATGACTTGTTAGCATACATGTTTTCATTTAATAGAATAGTTCAAAATACAGAATTACTATGTAAATATGCAACTAGGCATCATAATAAAGAGTGATAAATAAACTTAGCTATAAAAATAAATTTTGTTTTGATATAAACATATAATTCTAGGTGGAGTTAATTAATTAAAGAACTTCTAATAAAACAAAGAGTATTCTATCTAAAATGAAGTCACTGGTGTTGTGTCAGGTTTTGTATAGGGGCTGGATTCTTTACAGTAGGTGTCTGTGACTTGTTGGCGATAAATTTCAACAATAAACGGACAGCACAC